CCTCTCTCGACAGAGCGCCTACTCGCTCGCCCTGGCGGGCGAAGAGGACACCCCACACTCCTACAAACGTGTCAAGAGAGGCCTCCCCAAAATTGGTCGGAGTAGATGGGGCCGCAGCAGCGCGCCCTGCCTAGCCGATGCATCGGCGATGCGCTGGCAGTGCATCGGCGCCGTCGGCGTGGAGAACATCTGACTCCGCATCGAGCCGAAGCGCTGGACCATCGGCGATGCGGAGCGATCCTTGAACACACCTCCTCTGACCCTACCTGAGAGGCTAGCCTTCTTAGCCCCAGTCTCTTAGCCCCAGTCCAAAGTTTCGGAGCCTTGGCGCGCTCGTCTGGCGGGCGAAGAGGACCCTCCAGATTTTCGGAAGGTCTCGCACAAATATACCCGCACCGCTACTTCACGGACCTCCCCTGGGATGCGCTCTGACCAGGGCTTCGAGGCGAATCCAGCCCCGGCGACGAGAGTCTCCCAGGAAGCCTGAGCAGGCGAAAGCAAACGAAAGCGTTCTCCCCTCTGCCTCCCACTGCCGCTACTTTCCTGGGTCGTCCAGCTTCGGAGCCTCTCGGCGAGCAGGGTGTGCATTACCAGATGCTTAGACATCCCCTGCTCATGGCGTCGGCGGCGCCAGCTGTATCGGTATCTCCTCCTCCTCCTCCTCCTCCTCCTCCTCCTCCTCGTCCTCCTCCTCCTCGTCCTCCCTCTCCTCATCCTCCTCCTCCTCCTCCTCCTCGGAAAAAGGGGTTCTCCGCGGACCAGCCTCGGGCTCCTCGTCCGCCTCGCCCGCCGCCCGCGCCGCGGCGGGCGCCGAGGACATCCGGGCTCCGCGCGAGGCCTCAGGCGCCCATGCCGCGCCGAGCCCCGCGCCCTACGGGAGAGCCCGCGGGCCCACCCCGCACGTCGAGGGAGGGAGAACACCGCAGCAACCGTGAGCTTTCTGAGTGTTCGCCGCGGAGCTCTGGGATTCAGTCGGGCCTGTCCCCCCTACAGGGGGATTTTCGACGATTAAAAAAAAAATCCCCAAAGTAATCAAAAAATGATCCGAAAAATGGTCTGTGGACTATTCTTGCATATTTCTTGACCCTTCTGGGTTACTTTGGGGGTATCTCCTATTTTTCGTCGACGCTCCCCCTTTAGGGGGACACGCCCGACATGACTCTGGGATCGGCGCTGGGCCCTCGCCTCCCCGGCGCGGGGGGCGCGCCGAGGGCGGCGCCGGGGGCGGCGCCGGCCAGGGGCCCCGACGCCAATCCGCAAGATCGGCGCAGAGCTCCGGAAGCTGATTGGTGGGCCCGTGCTCCACCACCACCACCAGTAGTAGTTGAAGGGGGGAGGAGATGGAGGAGCAGGAGGAGGACGAGGAAGAAGAAGAAGAAGAACAATAATAAAAATAATAATAATAATATTAATATTAATAATAATCATAATAATAATTATAATAATAACAATAATAATAATAAGAATAATAATAATAAGAAGAAGAAGAAGAAGAAGAAGACGAGGGGGAGGAGGACCCCCTCCCCCCTCCAACTCAAGGTGCTGGTGGTGGAAAGCAGGACCATCATTTATGTTGATGCAGGTTTTCCCTTCCTCGACGCCCAGCAGCAAGCGAGCCTGGGGGCAGTGCCAATGGGGGGTCACCACTCTAAGGGGGTCGCCAGTTCCTCCTGAGGATTTTGAGGTTTCCCAGAGGAGGAGGAGGAGGAGGAGGAGGAGGAGGAGGAGGAGGAGGGGAAGGAGGAGGATTGAGGTTTCCCTGATTGAAGCTTGGGGAGGTCTTTGACGTGCACTGGTAATGTCTGCACTCGCCGCTCAGAACTGCATGGGCCCTGGTGCACTCCACTGCGCGCGGAAGGCACAGCGACGGATTTACTTGTAGGAAGTGGTGGCACCTCTGGCGTGGACCCCCCTGGGGGGTCATCACTTCGGGGGGTCGACCTTACTCCTCCTGAGGATCTCGAGGATCCCGGATCTGAGCTCGGGAAGGTTTTTGGACGTTTCGGAGGGCTCCGGAATGCTCGCGGGGTCGTTGCCTGATGGAAGTGGCGCTTCCTTCCCAGACATCTGGCGCTCCGATTGTTTCGATGTGTGGGCCCTGGAGCTCTGGTCAACTTCCTCAGGGCCAGGTCTAGAATCTAGAAGAAGAACAAACGGCACAGACATGAACTTTTGGCGCTCCGCGCCAAACGCTTATGTTTATTATGTTTTTTTATCGTCTTCGAAGCTATTCGCGAAGAGCCGATCGGGCTCAGCGAGGGTCCCTGGAGGCCGAGCACGGCCCCCCCCCCCCAAAAAAAACGACCGCTCCAATTCTTCGGAGCAACATATGTCTGGGCTGAGGAGGTGTCAATCCCCATCCCCCCTGATGGTGAGGGACCGGCATATGTCAGCGAGCGAAGGGGGGACGTGAGAAGGGGAAGGCCTTCTCGGGAGACGGCGGGACCTTCGGGATGCCCTCGCGCCTTCTGAGAGGTTCTCGGTGTAGATACCTCAGAAGACTTCTGAGAAGGCCTGCTCCCTCTCATTTGCCCCCCTCGCTCGCCGCCGAAATGGGGAGGACACATCGACTTGCAATCGGCGATACGTCGCCGATACCGTTTCCCCCCCAGCGTTGCCCCCGAGTTTTCGGGTCATGACTCAAGCCTCCAGCGGCCGTTCGGGACGATCCAGGCACCACTGGAACGCTCACGGCGAGGCGCAGCCGCTGGAAGGCACCCCGAGGCTGGGAAGCTAGGGGTCGATACATCCCCCCCTATGCCTATAACACAGCATCGTCCAAGGCCACGCTAGCAGCGATGTTGGTTCACGGCGATGTTGGGAACCTGGCTTTGAGACGCCGAACTCGCGCAGAACAGATGGTAGGAAAGCATGAACAACGCTTTCCTACGATTGGGTTGGCCACGAATCACCCCTCCGCCTACAGCACCGAAACCTACATCGCCGTTACAGTCGACCCGTATCACACGGATGCGCGAGAAGGATGCAGGGGCCTTGGAGACCGGTTTCGAAGCTTCTCGAGCAGAGCGCGGCAAACGGAAGTGGCCAAGGGTGGACTGAGGAAGCAAGGATGTCATGGCACCCTTGGGAAGGATGCACGTCCTTCTTTCGCGGGTTGACTGTACCTAAATCGCCGTTAGCGCGCCATGCAGGAGAGCCAACAATTCAATCGACAAGTTGGATCGGCAAACGAAATGACACGGATCGGCGGAAATCGGCAGCCACGTTGGGAGAAGTCGAATCAGCAGGAATCGGCAAGCCAGTAGGCGTCTACTGGGGAACCGGAACCCAAAGTCGGACTCCGGTGTGACAAAACAAGACAGACTCCGCCAGAGATGTTCTGAGAACGCTCCGTGAAAAACACAAAACAACTCTTCGAACATTGTTTAGTAGGGCTATCGGTTCAGTCGGGCCTGTCCCCCTACAAGGGGATTTTCGAATAAAAATGAAACATGGTCAAAAATACCCAAACGTGACCAAACAATACGCAAAAAATCGTCCCCAAACTATTTTTCACTATTTTTGAAGATTCCCCCTGTTGAGGGACAGGCCCGACGGCCCGACATAACTATAGGCGAGCCAGGACCCTTGGCGCTGCCCAGAGCCTCCGGTGTTCGGAGGAGGCCTGGCGGGGAGGGGGGGGAGCCCACGGCGGGAGGCCGCCGCGACTCGGGCCGAGCCGCGGTGGCCACGCGGAGCGACGCGCCGCCTCCGAGGGAGGAGAGAGAGGAGGAGGAGGAGGAGGAGGAGGAGGAGGAGAGCCCCTTCCTCCTCCTCCTCGCCGCCTCCCTCCTCCTCCTCCTCCTCCTCCTCCTCCTCCTCCTCCTCCTCCTCCTCCTCCTCCTCCTCCTCTCTCCTCCTCCTCCCCCCCTCACCCTCCCCTCCCCCTCCCCTCCCCTCCCCCTCCCCCTCCCCCCTCCCCCCTCCCCCTCCCCCTCCCCCCGCCCCCCTCTCCCCTCCCCCTCCCCCTCCCTCCTCCTCCTCCTCCTCCTCCTCCTCCTCCTCCTCCTCCTCCTCTCTCCTCCTCTCCTCCTCCTCCTCCGCCTCCTCCTCCTCCTCCTCCTCCCCTCCTCCTCCTCCTCCTCTCTCCCTCCTCCTCCTCCTCCTCCTCCTCCTCCTCCTCCTCCTCCCTCCTCCTCTCCTCCTCCTCATCCTCCTCCTCCTCCCCCCCGCCTCCCCCTCCCCTCCCCCCCTCCCCTCCCCTCCCCCTCCCCCCGCCCCTCCCCCCTCCTCCTCCTCCTCCTCCTCCTCCTCCCCTCCTCCTCCCCCCCTCCTCCCCCCCCTCCTCCTCCTCCTCCTCCTCCTCCTCCTCCTCTCCTCCTCCTCCTCCTCCTCCTCCTCCCTTATCGCATATCAGTACCAGTGAGTGGGAAGGAGCTGAACCTCGAACCCCATGCCTATCCCCCCCAAACGTTGCCCCTGAGCCTCCCAGATTGGTTCCGAGTACATGGGGTCGGAGGATCGAGCCGCATCGCCAATGCATCGGCGATGCATCGCTGATGTACCGGCGACATCGGCATTGAGAAAATCGGGCTCCACATCAAGCCGCGTCGCCGCTGCATCGGCGATGCGGCGCGATCCTCCGACCCCATCTGATCCGACCCCGTTTGAGAGGCCTAGAACTAACCACCCCCAGAACGTTGCCCCTGATCCCCTTGGGCCTGGGGCCCCTGAGTATCGTTTAACCGATCCCCCATCCCCAGCGGCGTGGCCTGGGCCCCTCTGGCCGATCTACCCCCCCAGATGGGGATGTAGGCCGCTCCCTTCGAGTTTCGAGGGGTATATCCCAGGGGTCTCGCAGGGGATGGGGCTCCTCCTCCTCCTCCTCCTCCTCCTCCTCCTCCTCCTCCTCCTCCTCCTCATCCTCCTCCTCCTCCTCCTCCTCCTCCTCCTCCTCCTGGGCATGGGGGTTGGTTCAACGATACCGAGCCCCCTCGTCTTCCCTCGCGGGAGGGAGGCCGCCGCACGCGCGCGCGCCAGAGGTGGGCGCGCGCCCGGTCCTGCCGGAGAGCCCCACCGTCGGCCTCGCACTCGTCCGCCGGTGGCTGCCCCTCCGGCTCCTCACCGGGGACGGGGCGGGCTCGCCTTGGAGGCCACCGCATCGCCGAAGCAGCGGCGACGCCGGCGCGGAGAACGTCGGGCTCCGCGTCGAGCCGCATCGCCGATGCGTCGGCGGTGCGGCGCGATCCTCCAGCCCCATCTGCGCCGACCCCATCTGGGAGGCCAGGACACTCGGAGGTCGGGCCGCACGAGAGAGAGAGAGAGATAGTAGAGGCCGGAAGGTGCCGCCATGAGATTTCGAGGTTTGCGGTTCTCGGACGATTTTCGTTCTGCTCTCGGCGGTTTTCCAGCCTCGGGCTGCCTGCCGGCGGCTCGAATTGTGATGATAGGCCCAGTGAGCCAGCAGGGATTCTTTGGCGGCGCGCAATCAGGGGGGCAGGCAGAGAGGGCGGGCCTCCTCAGAAGGCTCAGAGGGCCCCCTGTCCTTCTGAAGACTCCCTAAGCCTTCTCCGAAGCCTCAGGGGTTCGGGTCGAGGGGACAGGGGAGGCCAGCACAGCCGGCCCGTATGAGACAGATGCGCGATAAGGGTGCACGGGCCTAGGAGGCCCACTTCGAAGCTTTTCGAGCGGGGCGCGGCCGACGAAAGTGGCCAAGGATAGACCGAGGAGGCAAGGATGCAAGGGTCCCATTGGGAAGGTTGCCCATCCTTACTATGCGGGTTGACCGCACACCCTCAGAGAGGCCCACGAGAGGCCCACGAGAGGCCCACGAGAGGCTCTCAAGGAGGCCCCCGAAGCCCTCCCGGAGGCCTCCGAGGGGCACCACGAGACAATTTTGCATTCCAGAGGCCTGTGGTCCACGACATTGGGCCAAGTGCCACTAGACGAAATAGAGGTGGCAAGGTGTCCTGTCTCCTCCAAGATTGCGATGCTCTTCAAGCCGCTCTGGGTTAGTCGTCGGCCTGCATTTGCGCGCTCCACGGAACGGAACGGAACGGCCTGCATCGTGCACCGCGCGGGTGCTGCAAGGTGGGGCCGAAGCGCCCAAAACACTAGAACATTCCGGCCATGCGCTCACTGTCCAGAGTCGGTAAAAGGTGGGATCCAGAACAGATTCTGTCGTAACGGCGCTGTCCTCGGAATTGCGGCCGAATCGTCGCAACCAGATTCTGTCGTAACGGCGCTTACCTCGGCAAAGCTGCCGAATCGTCGTAACCTTGATTTGTGGGTCGCACTAGCCAGATTCTGTCGTAACGGCGTTTCCTTCGGGAATGCGGCCGAATCGTCGCAACCTTGATTTGTGGGTCCCAATAGCAAGATTCTGTCGTAACGGCGCTTCCTTCGGAAATGCGGCCGAATCGTCGCAACCTTGACTTGTGGGTCACAACAGCCAGATTCTGTCGTAATGGCGCTTCCTTCGGAAATGCACCGAATCGTGGCAACCTGGAGTTAGAAGGCAGGAGTCGGAAGGCCCCGCCATCCCGTCGCAGTGAGGCCGTATTGCGTCGTCGTCCACCTCTGTCGGCGTACCGTCACAAAGAGTAGTCGGCGAAGGCCTCCTCAACTCAAGTAGGAAGGCGCTTGAAGTATATTGGGATCGGCACAGGTCTGCACATGCTGGTGCCCGTCAGTCTGCACAAGTCTGCACATGCTGGGGAGGGCGGACGGAGGTGGGAGTCGGCACAGGTCTGCACATGCTGGTGCTCGTCGGTCTGCACAAGTCTGCACATGCTGGGGTGGACGGGGAGGGGGTGGGAGTCGGCACAGGTCTGCAAATGCTGGTGCCCGTCAGTCTGCAAAGGTCTGCACATGCAGGGGAGGGCGGGGAGGGGGGTGGGAGCCGGCACAGGTCTGCACATGCTGGTGCTCGTCGGTCTGCACAAGGTTGCACATGCTGGGGTGGACGGGGAAGGTGTGAGGTGCGAGGGGGGGAAAGTGGGAGCAGGAGTCGGAAGTTTGGGGATAGGAGCCAGCGATAAAACGTAGCTTTTGGGAGTCGTGTGGGTAGTGGCCCCCAGGATCTCGATGAGCGGAGGTGTTCTGGGTATCGCATCCGCACATGGTATCTGCTGATTCCAGAGTGTCCGATTTACATCAGAACCTCTACATTGCAACCAAGCAACCTTCCCAAGGCCTCCCGATCCCTCGCAACCTTCCCAAGGCCTCCCGATCCCTTTTCAAGGTCGGCGGAACCGGCCGTACGGCCTCTCCAACACTGACCACAAGCTACTAGCAGATAACTTCACGCTACCACCTGATAACCACGATCTGCTGAATTCTAGCTCGGTGCAACTTTGTCAGCAACTGGCAAGTAAAAGCGACACACCACTCTCGGCACACATGTGTACTCCAAACACGAGCATCCATCTATGATAACTAACGCACGTGGCGTATACAAGAAACACACACCCATACTCTTCCCACACAAAACGTAATAACACGAGGATCCTTAAGCAGCAGTGTGACGGCACAGGATCCCTCGCAGCAATGTTGCATCTCAAGCGTGTCAGGGCACAGAACAGGTCGGCCGCAATTCCCCATGCAATATTCTACAGCACACGGTGCAACGTTGCTCAAATGATTAAGTGTGACCCTTTCGGTCCAACACTACTTCCCATAGACGCCCCCAGCAATTACGCAAATCATACGATCAGCGACCGTTTTCTGCGCCTCTTGCGACCTGAATCACGGTTGCAATACTCAACACGAATCTGAACAAAGTGTGTGCTTACTCCAGACAGGTCGTGCAAATATGTCACCAAAGAAAGCTTCCCCCGCAAAGCGATCCTCCTTCGGGTGGGTCACCAACGATGTAGTTGCACTCGTGGAGGCAGAGCTATCTGCAACCTTTGCGCTGCACCCAGCGATGTCTTCTTCCACACAATGTCTGTTGTGCTCGCTGCCGCCTGATGCTGCCATCGATCACTGCTGGCCTCACGGTGCCAACAGCCCATGCAAAGAACCCTGGTGCAAGGAGGAGAGTACGCAACTCACTCGCGAAGCTGAAGTGAACACGTGGTGCACGGCAAATGTGCAGCACTATGTTCTAAGCATGGGAGACACGCGTGGACATACACTCTCGGAGCTCCGCACGCAATTCGTTGTGCTTTGATGAGCTTCGTGCCAGAGTCGAGGGAACCAGTCACGTGCTCCAACCACTATTGCCTGCTGTCGCGTGACCTCTCCTTCCCAACGCTCAGACGGCCGGCGCCTTTGAGCCCAGCATGGCGAGCTGACTCAAAACCTCGGCGGCAATTGACAACATTGACAATCAACATACGGCGGTGCTGCTGACACTCACCACTTCGGCTCCAGAGAAGAATCGCAACGCCCAGCAAAGCCAAAGCGCAGCCTGGCGGCTGCGTCCCCCCAGGGGACCGCAGACCAAGAATCGCACATTGTAAACTTCCGCGACTGTCCCATTCGCCCTCCGTTCAGAAAACAAAAAAAATCTGCGCATATGCAGTCAGCCGCAGGCAATCGGGGCGTTTACGGGCGCGGTACTGCGTGGAAAGCAGGGCGTCCCCACTCGCACGCGATGCCCAGCACGCAGCGCCGCATGAGGTCACGACAGCGTCTCCCCCACAGCGCACCGTTGCCCAAACGACACTATCAAAGAAACACACATCTCAGACAGAGCTCGAGGAAACTTGAATTGTCTATTGCTCTGCAGCAACAAGTGTCCGCGACAACAAGGGAGAGGGGAGAAGTCGTCAGCCCTATCTGGACTCGGCAGGGGCCCTCTTGGATCCCCCCTGGGAAACATCAGACCCCTCCTGGAGTCCAAGAGGCAAGCTTACGATCACGCCTCCTTCGGAGTCTCGATGTGGGAAGGATGTCCCTCGCGAAACGTCCGAGTGGGGCCATCTTGCCCGCATCACAGGGACCTACCCTGGCTTCTGGGAGATCTCGTCAAACATCTTATTCCCACCTTGAAATCCAGGAGGTGAGCGTTGAGAAACAAGTCCGTCAAAGTCTCCATTTCGAGAGGACGTCTCACGCGAAACAGCCACTTGGAGGTCATCTTGGAGGCATCA